TCACGCCAAAAGTGAAATTAATAAGCCTCCGGCTGAAGGAAGTGCTTCTGTCTCTGCACTTTCTCCCGATTTCTCTCAACACAGGACAGGAGATCTGCCAGCGAATAAATGGGAAAACAAAGTTACTTGCATTACTTATTTACAAATTATAATTACAATATAATTATAATTACATTACAAATTATTTAGATATTTTCTTGTAAATTTTCAATTATAAAACGATAGTTCCGGTCCTTGATTCTGATTGGTTGAGCCAAGTTCGAAGCTGTTACAAACATACACCTTTGTTTACTTCTGTGTGCTCGACAACCACTTTGTTGGAACCACAACTGATTCTGAGGAACTACTCCGCTTCGCATCGTGCCTAACAACGCCCCTTAGCTGTTAGAAATTCACTGTAAACCACGGCTTCTTGGGGCTTATTGCTTTAGTAATTCATTACTTTACTAGTTACTTGAAGTAAAAAGTAACTTGCGTTACTTGTAATGCATTACCCACAACATTGTTTGTATTGTTGCAGATACTCTGTGACCAGCAAAAGTTCATCATAATAATCGCCAATGAACACAACTTTAGACTAAATTCAGTAAAAAAGCAATAATAATAATAATAATAATAAGCAAACTATAATCATGGTCAAATGACTTCACTGCGCTTCTGAACAAATCTTTCAATTTCTTTATTTAAAAATCGACAATTTGAAAAGTGTGAGTAAAGTGAATAGTGACTTTACCTGTCTGGCGTGATGACGCTTAATGTCACCTGTTAGCGAGTGCCAGTTTCAAGACACATAAAAGCTTTAAAAAAAATTAAGAGTGGGTATTACTGTATATAAAAATAAAACACAAAAAATATCTTGAGCTTGTGTTCACCACAGACCGTGTTTCAGGCATTTAACCAAAAAAAAACATTTTAAAAACCCATTGACTTCAGGATAAAATGCTAAATCGTGTTAACGCGTTCCTTCAGCACTCTATACAGCATTTATTGTTTCGCATTTCATTATGTGTACGTTTATAACAAATGATCCAAAGTAATACGAGATTTAGTAATCATCTCGCAGGCTAGCAGTATGCTGAGCAGTTAAAGAATAAGACGCTGTTCTTAATTTGCCATTATATATAATTTAAAAGATATTAATGGTTGTATTTACCAAGTTAAGATGACGTATAAATCCAATGTGTAGGTTTTCTAATCAGGCACGGGATTGAATACCCATAAAAGGCCTCTCAGCCAATGGAATCACTAATCTATAATCTGTAGAATCGCTTTGGTCTCACTTGCTCTAAAACTGAAATCTCCAGTGCCAACTCACTGCAAGGCACCAAATATATGCTCGTTTTTAATTGATCAGATACTTTCATAATTTGCAGAGGCAACTAGAATTGGTTGACCCTGAAAAGTAAACACTGTAATGTTTGTTTGAGAATCCTAACCAGCCCAACACAGCTTGAGCACGAGTTGAAAAACACACAGCAACAGTTTTAACTCGGGACTGTGTTTGCATTCAGGACGGTTCTCTCAGGAGAAGCGGCTCTTTCGGGAAACTCAGGGAAGTCCTGCGCAGAAGCAGCGAGATGCTGGTGAAGAAAATCCAAGGAACCATGCCGCCAGAGCCTCACAGCACAAAGTGAGACACACAAACACAGCGATTCATGAACGTTGAACCCAGCTTTAGCAGCTTTACGGCCTGCTAGAGTGTTGTTCTTTCGTGTAAATGAGTTGTTTTTCATCCCACACAGCATGAAGAGAGCCGCGTCCCTCGGTTATCTGAACAGTAACGGAGATGAGGGCGACTCTTTTCAGGTGAGCTGCTGTGTGAGCTCAGGGTTTAATTTGATTGTTTTAAAGGAGATTAATGGAGTAGTGCTGATTTGTCGGTCGTCTCGTCACAGGGTTCGGGAGCAGCGAGGACGCTGAGAAACAGCAGGCCTCTGAGCTCAAGCACAGTGGAGCTGTACAAAAGCACAGACCAATGAAAATGCATGCATGTTCTGACTCATTTCTCACTCGATTTGTAGGCTTTGGTTCATGTGCTTTCAATCATGAACGCTTTTGGCTTTTGGTCTGAGTTTACACATATAAATCATGCATGTTTCTTTTTCTTCAAGGAATGGTTCGTCCAGAAATGAAAACTTATTCTCATGTGGACCACAAAAAACACATTTAACTAGCAGCTCTTTTTCTGTAAAATAAAAGTGAATGGAAATGGGTGCCGTCAGACTCCAAAAACAACTAAAAGCTCTATAAAACTAACCTACTTGTGCACCAAATTCTTCCTAAGACATACTGTACAGACCAAAATATGGAAGCTTGTTTCTGCCAGGGAATTTAAAAAAAAGGGTAATTGCAACTGTTTTCATGCAAATCGGAGTTTATATCTCACAATTCTGAGAATAAAACGTCAGTGCATGTTCTGACTCATTTCTCACTCGATTTGTAGGCTTTGGTTCATGTGCTTTCAATCATGAACGCTTTTGGCTTTTGGTCTGAGTTTACACATATAAATCATGCATGTTTCTTTTTCTTCAAGGAATGGTTCGTCCAGAAATGAAAACTTATTCTCATGTGGACCACAAAAAACACATTTAACTAGCAGCTCTTTTTCTGTAAAATAAAAGTGAATGGAAATGGGTGCCGTCAGACTCCAAAAACAACTAAAAGCTCTATAAAACTAACCTACTTGTGCACCAAATTCTTCCTAAGACATACTGTACAGACCAAAATATGGAAGCTTGTTTCCGCCAGGGAATTTAAAAAAAAAGGGTAATTGCAACTGTTTTCATGCAAATCGGAGTTTATATCTCACAATTCTGAGAATAAAACGTCAGAAATGTAAGATAAAAATTCAGAATGACATAATTAAAAAAAAAAAACATGATCTGCAAGATGTAAGTATGCAGCTTTTCTCACAAATCTTAGGTTACATCTCACAATTATGAGAAAAAAAGTCAGAATTGCAAGATGTCAATTCAGAATTGTGAGAAATGTCAGAATTGCAGGATAAAAAGTCGCAATTAATCTTGGCGAAAAACAGCAACAACAGTATTCCGAAATGTAAATTCAGAATTCCAAGAAAAAAAAGTCAGTATTGCGAGAAAAAATAATCGTAATTACCCATGGCGGGAAAAAAAAAATCTGATGTAGCCTAAACATGCAACTTTTGCAACTTTTTTTCTCGCAAATCTTAGTTTATATCTGACAATTATGAGAAAAATTGTCAGAATTACAAGATGCAAATTCAGAATTGTGAGAATAGTCAGAATTGCGAGATAAAATTCGCCATTGACTTTTGCGGCGGGAAAAAAAAACAGAATTGTGAGATGTAAATTTAGAATTCCAAGAAAAAAGTCAGAATTGCAAGATGTCAATTCAGAATTGTGAGAAATGTCAGAATTGCAGGATAAAAAGTCGCAATTAACCTTGGCGAAAAACAACAACAACAACAACAGTATTCCGAAATGTAAATTCAGAATTCCAAGAAAAAAAATATCGTAATTACCCATGGCGGGAAAAAAAAAATCTGAAACATTTAAGATGTGGCTTAAACGTGCAGCTTTTGCAACCTTTTTTCTCGCAAATCTTAGTTTATATCTGACAATTATGAGAAAAATAGTCACAATTGCAAGATGCAAATTCAGAATTGTGAGATAAAATTCACCATTGACTTTTGCGTGGGGGAGGGGACAGAATTGTGAGATGTAAATTCAGAATTCCAAGTAAAAAAAGTCACAATTGCAAGATAAAAAGTTGCAAATAACCTTGGCAAAAAAAAAACTGAATTGTGAGATGTAAATTCAGAATTCTGAGAAAGAAACACAGAATTGTGAGATATAAACTAAATTACAAGGCAAAAAGTTGTTGTGAATTGTATATATATATATATATATATATATATATATAGTTTATAACTTGCAATTCTGATAAAAAAAAGTCTAAAATATGAATATAAAATAATACTGAAATAAATGTTGCAGTTACCTTTTTTCATGACAGACACAAGCCCCCAAATGTACGTTTTTACTGAGGGTGAAGAAATGAATATCTTTCCCTCTGCCACAGATCCAAAAGCTCCTGAATATGTGGTAGTGCCTGTGTGGAAGAAGACCGTTATGCTGCCTTTTTGACAGCCCTGTTCACCATATGCTTTCATTGTATGTAAAAGAGCAGCTTGGACATTTCGCTAAACATCTGCGTTTGCAAATAAAGTCATACAGGTTTAGAAAAAACAGATATGGTGACCAAAATCTTTGTATTTATCAATAACTATATACATATATCACAGTATAGTTATTTTTGTTGCTTATTTTATGTTTGTTGTTAAAAATAAGAACCAAGAAGCGCTTTACAAACAATAGGACAAGTATAATAAAACAAAGATACAAATGAAATGAACATTTACGTTTTTCAGGTAGCACTCCAGTACAATAAATGATGTAAACGATGACAGAATTTGACTTTTTGGGTGAACTAACCATATTTGAACCATTCTTAAAACCCCTAGCAACTGCCTCGACTTTACTTTTTGAAACCTAATATGGCACAACTACAATATTTTATATGCTGAAAACACTGGAGTGTGATGGCTGCTGTGGATCTGATCTGAATCTGAATTATGTAATGAGTGATTTTAACCCCAGTGGGAATCCACCTGGCTCTTTCTCTCAGGTATTAAATATCCTTCTGACACATATTTAGCAGTGAAATCTGACCTCCGGTGACAAAACCCCACGAGAAGCCCGGTGCACGAGCATTGTTCACTCAGAGCTCAAGAGAGGTGTTGTGTTGCTCCTGACCTGATTCATCAGCCATGCACGGCAGTCCATTTATTTCAGTCGCTCCTTCATTATGTGATGCATATGTCCTAATGTATAGGTACTGCCCCCAATGTGTTTCTGTAATTGTGTGTGATGTATTTTTTTTACTCTGTTCAAGTTTTAAAGCAACCAGCTTGTCATTTTTTTTCATTGCAAAATTTAAATTTGGAATAAATATGGAATCTGTATATATATTGAATTTGAATGCATGTAATTTACATTTATTGATTTGATATTTGTACTAGGTCTGTGGTTTCTAATCATTTCATGCTCCAGTGTCCATGGACTTCTCAGGGTTCTGCTGCTTAGATTTGTTTGTCTAAAGCATATACGTATGTTTTGAGAGCACTTTTTTTGAGAGAGAGAGAGTCATTTGCTAGGTAAAAAGTAGATGCTTGTATGAACTTCCACTGTCTGATTTGGCTTGATTGCAATAAAAAGTTTTAGTGCTATATCCATTTCATTTTGTTTTATGTCAATACTTAATTTTGCTCATCTTCTGGTCTGGGCAAGGGTAGAGCCTTGAAAGTATCCTTTATAACGTCTTACATATGACTTTATCCAAGGCAATAATAAGTTATAAGTAAATAATAAGTGCAACCTCATATTTAATGCTTCAGATTTAAAAGGCTCAAGAAATAATTGTGAAGGTGGAATATTGGAAACAGGGTGAGAGAGCAGTCGCTTACCAAAATCGCATACTTTTCGTGAAAAAGTATGCTCTATGTCAGGGGTGGCGAACTCCGGTCCTGGAGAGCCGCAGCCCTGCAGAGTACAGCTCCAACCCTAATTAAAACTTACCTGCCTGTAGCTTTCTGGTAACCTTTCAGACCTTGATTAGCTTGTTCAGGTGTGTTTGATTAGGGTTGAAGCAAAACTCTGCAGGGCTGCGGCTCTCCAGGACTGACGTTCGCCACCCCTGCTCTATGTAGTATGAATGAAATTCGGACATACTACATTCACCATGTTTTCACTGCCGGCGTCAGTTGTGGCCTTGTGGGACAGTAAAGTGTCCATTAGATGCGCACTTCAGAATCTCGCCGGAAGTAGTAAGTGATCTGGGAAGTTTCCGTCTACTGTTTTATGAATACTGTGAATCCAGTCACACTAGTCCCATTCTACTTACATTACTGCTTACATACTGTCTTTCGCCTACTATGGAAGTGGGTGTATTCGGGCACGAGATCGGGTCCAACAAAACACAGAAAAACAATTACTGACTAGAAACGAACGAACATTAAAATGTGAGCTTGACGAAGGAACCACAATGTACTAAATACGGAAAGGTCGTGCGTATGTGGGGTAAAGCAGCACTTTATCATACTAGATACATTTGAAAGTTCTGTTATAATGCTACTTCTGTCAGGAGCACTATCGTCAAAATGATAGATACTTAGCAAGTTTGGTTTGGCGGTAAGGTTCTGTTCTGGGCAAAAAACTCCCTGCCCATCCATGCAGCCTGTCATGAATGAGCAGGGAGAGCAGCAATAATAACCCCCCTAGGGTTAACAGAACAGAACAAGGCAGATATCATTAATGTACCTAATGATATTTAAGTGTAACACTTTATTCAAGATAAAGGAGTCTGATTAGCCAGGAATATCAGAAAGCCAAGTCCTGTCTGTGGCGAAAGGAGGAGCTGGGGATGGAGGAGGGTAATTTGCTCCTAAGCAAGCTGAAAAGCTGCTGAATAATACTGAATAGAGCTTATATAGGAATGCCGTGATAGGTGTCGTATTCCTATTGGTAGATGTGATCAGCTGAGAATCAATGTACTAAATATGGAAAGGTCTTTCCTTGCGATTTTTAATTTTTTTTGTGTACAAATGACAATGCTATCAAAACAATCGGCGCTCACTTAAACCCCTGAAAACGACTAAAGCCTGGAATACACTACGTGATTTTTGCCCCAATTTCCCGCTGGTTTACAGTCTGGGAATCACGTAACGTTAGTGTGAAGGTCACAGACTCTGATGCTTTAGCTTCTGACTCTGATTCCATCCAGTCCGAGGAGATCAAACATGTTTGATATTTTGAACCGATTTTAGAACACATATTGTTTTCATTTTTGTTCACCCGTCTCCTAGCAACAAGGCGCACGTTTCTGCATGAGTTTGTTGTGTTTGGAACAACTTTAATGTCTGGTAGTATGTGATCCTCAATTGTGTAGTGTATGATGCCCTGTTTTCACTTGTGACTATTTACATACCTATCTACCTTTTTCTTCAACGCGGAAGTAATGGTGCGTTCAAGTCACGTCGGATAGATCGTATTTACGAGTTGAACGCACATGAACGCCACCACAAAGTCGTTATACGAGTGGGAAATTCTACATTTTCTTTAAGCCCCGAGATTTCGAGTTGGGGGTGTGTCAGTGAGAAACATGGCAGAATCGATGGATGCAACGTCTGTAGTTGACGGTAAATTTTTGTTTAAATTGATAGTTTAGCTATAAACTTAAATTGGCCATGTTCTTGTTACGCAGCTAGTTAATGAAATCCAAGTAAAAAACACACCTGATGCAAGTTCTTTGCTCTTCATTTTCTATAAGCAGAGTTAACAGACCCTGATGTATTTTCTTGTAATTTATTAAAAGAAGGTACACCGCCATCTTGTGCCGACTAAACTGACTTGACGTCGTAATTACGACTTGTCAACTCGTAAGTACGAACGTCCCAGGAGGACTTGAACGCAGCATTAGCCTATGGGCGAGACTTCTGGTTCATTAGCCGCTGTAGATAAATAACGAGGAGAATAACAACGTGCAGTAAACGGTAAAACTGTTTGCACTACAAACCAGTGTGTTCGTAATTAAGATAATCCATTAAAATAATATGGTAAGACACCAATTTTCAAAATCAAGCAGCAAAACGAACTGTTTTGTACAGCTAAAAATAGCTGGACGCAGATGAGACCAGAAGCTAGACCCATAGAATTTACAAATGGCCCAATTTTACACAAGAAAAAGCTCTGATAGTACACGTGTGACGTCACAATTTTCAAAACATTCATATTTTCGTAGTTTACACATAATAAATAATGCTATCGTTAGCAAAAACTTGCATTTCGAAAACCCAATTCTCAAAAGTTGCCATTTTCAGACCCGCAAAGCACCGCTGACACGTAATTAAACAGCCAAAACGCATAAAGTTTTCTGTTAAAAATGGTGTTGTGTAAACGAACACAAGAGATAGCACTTTGTTGTGTTGTGCTTTAAGCATCTTCCCTCTCGTTAGAGACAGAATGGACCCGTTTCACAAGACTGTGATGACGCGTTTCAACGGTCATCAGCATCGTATATCCTCAAAACTTTTTTATAGCCTATTTTATTTTTATTTTTAAATGTATGCACATTTATAACACTATACTTTGTATTATATCACCTTTGCATTAAAATTACAAAAAAACTCGTTAATGCTAATGCGAGGGTGTTTCTAATGCAGCGATAGTAAATTTAACGGTAATTTAACGGTAAATTTAACATTGTTCTCTCTTCTGACCGCCGTTATCAGTCTCTCTAAATTTATTTCCTTTTTTAAAAATCATGAAAACGCTATCGTGGAGTTTTTAGTTTTTTTGGCTATTCGTGCTACTCTCCCATTCACAGCTCTCGACGTTTACCCAACTATGACGACTTCCGCTGCTGAGAAACCCGGAAATGTGAAACAGGTCTTTACTAAAAACTATAATGAACCAAATAAATACATTTTGAAAAGAAAAAAAAAAAACTATAAATGTTACAAATGTAATCAGATTTCAAGTGATTCAATAATTCAGGTTACCTCATTCAGCTGGTCTTGTGAGCTCAATGTCTCAAACAGCTTTTATATAATAGGAATACAGCCTGTACACGATTTATACCTAATTTAAAAAAAAATACTGTCAATTTATTTGTATCTAAACCTATTCTGAGGAAGAAACTAAGTGCTGAAAATACCCACATCACCATTTAAGTTGCTTTAAATATTTGCTAACTTTAACCACACCGCTTTCTCTAAAATCAGCCACTTACATTTTTGGCTTTTGTGTTGATACACATATGTTTGATTTGTCTCGACAACTATTTAAACGTGTTTTCAAGTGAGTTAGAACATTGTATGCGTGTTTCCCCAACAACAGAAGATATAGCGCAGTGTTTCTCAACCAGGGGTCTGTGGACCCCTAGTGGTCCTTGACATAAGGCCAGGGGGTCCGCATAAAGTATGAATTTTTGTATACATTTTGTATATTTTGACATGACATGTTCCCATGAAAGAAAAATCCAATATAGCTGATGATATGGCCAAATACTGGACAAGTCAGCTAACTTGAATTATACTTGACTGCATTTGGTCCTCACAAAGACACAAATGATACGAATCAATTTTGTTCGGAGGGTCCTTGAGGATGGTTCTGAATTGGACTGGGGTCCGGTACGCCAAAAGGTTGAGATTCACTGTTATAGCGCATGGACGCGGTTAAACATATACTAAAAATGTGTTTGTAGACATGTGCAGCAGCGCAGGAGAGAGAGAGAGAGAGAGAGAGAGAGAGAGAGAGAGCGCGCAGTCCTCCGCGCATGCGCAGTGCGACACTGCGGTCCCCAGCGCTTTAGGCTGTGTGGTGCGTTTGTTGTGTCTGCTGGTAAGTAGGTCATTATTAATTATCATAGTAATACATTGTTTGCAATGTTAAGTCACAGCCCAAACTATCGATATTATATAACGGAAGTGTTTGGCATGTGTTAAATTTGCGCTGGGCGTCATTAAAAGTAATGTTTTCCACATTTCCCTTTACTGGGCAAACTGGGCGCTAAATGTGTATAATACAGTGCATCGAGGGAGGTTCGTGTGCAAACCCACTGTTGCATTAGCATCCGTTCAGTCATTCGTGTTTTAATTGCTCATGCAACAATCACACTGCAGCTTGTCTGGATGAATGGCTTTGAGCACAAACACAATCACATCGAGAAGCTTTCGACGAGGCCCTCTGTCTGTTTCATATTTACGCTTCCTGTTTATATGATTGCTGGTCGTTTCAGCTTCGAGATATTACTGTGTTTATGCACTAATACACCTGTGTGGGTCTTAGTTTTAGGGAGCTGAATGTATGCATGCATGTGTTATTGGGTCAAAACAATAGAAACATTGTTGGCACTTCCTAGTGGTGCTATCAGTGATTAAGAGCTTCATGCCATGCTAGTTCTTTTACAATGAACGTGAGGACACCACATATAATTTTAATTATATACATGTTAAACATTTTATTTCCATGTTTTGTATATTTTCTTATGTTTTCTTTAATATAAACACCTCTCTGAGCTAATATACAATGGAATAGAATGGTTGGTTGAATACAATGGAATGGTTGGTCACATCAAAAGCCCACTGTTCTTACTCTCCCACTTATCTGACTGGTTTCTTTAGTAAAGAAGTAGTTAGTGGTGGTTGAGGAGAGACCCCCCATATGATTGTAAAGTGCTTTGGGTGTACAACAATACACAATAAAGCGCTATATAAATGCATCATTCATTCATTCATTCAATTTTGTCTGCTAACAGTCAAGCCTTTGCTAACAAGACGGGCTATTAGCACTTAGTGTAAACAGACAATTCGTTTAAAAGTTGTGCTAATGCAGAAACTGGTTTAACATGAACACAGAAGTCCACACATGAACAAGAAACAAAGCCACACAATGTTTTACTTTCTGTATCTCTGTATCTTGATTAACAGTTGTCTCATCCGTAGTAAGTATTCCATTCACAAACAATACCTAATTTTTACATTTTGTCTTACTTATTGTGTTTTTTGGCTTTTTTGGGTGATTTGTTTTTCACTTCACAAATATTTTACAGTGTGTCATATATAATCTTACCACAGTTTCTCCAGTTTACAGAGGATTTTGTAGTACATCAGAGAGCAGGTTCACTGAATAATCATATCAATTAATATGTTATTATTAATAAGCAGGTTCTTTTTGCTAGACTGTTTAATTCATATAAATAATGTTTACTTAATATATTTAAAAAAAAAACATTTATTTTTGTATTTTGACATGGCACCAACATGCTTTTCTACGGTGGCCGAGAAGTGCAAAGCAAATCACAATTCTGAAAACAAAATAACAAATTACAAATGCAAGTCTAAAAAACAAAATAATTCAGCAAGCACAACAACAATTCAGAAAACATTATAACAAGTCAGAAAACACAATGACAAATCCGAAAACAAATTAACAAGTCAGAAAACACAACGACAGCTGAAGAACAGACACCTGAATTGTTGTTGTGTTTTCTGAATTGTTATTTTGTTTTTTAGACTTGCATTTGTAATTTGTTATTTTGTTTTCAGAATTGTGATTTGTTTTGCACTTCTCGGCCACCGTACTTTTCAGATGATAAAAAGTCCTCAAAACAAAAACTTGTATTATTTAAGTAGCCTATAATTTATGCAGATGACACATTTTCATGTATATTTGCATTTTGGTTATGCTGTTACCAAGTTTGGATTCAATAAAAAAGTACAAATAAATAAATAAAAGTACACCGTGCTGAGTATTATATAATGTAATAAAATGTTAGATTTAACTTTACATTTTCCATGGAAGCCTGTTTTCACCACGCTTTTTTTTTTTCATTATCAATTTTATTTATCACAATTGTGAATTTTGAGTCGAGACCTTGCAATTCAGATTTTTTTTTTTTTCTCTCAGAGTTGCAAGATATGCACTTTTTTACATATCTATTTTAAGAGCCGCCTACTTTCATGGATGGATCTGTCTGGATCACCGTTTTTTTTTTTTTTTTTAATTTAAGAAATATTTTGGTTCTATATATTTATTTAAATGCACAAAATCATGTTACTTTCACAAAATGCATTTTGTAATTCAGACCGACTCTTTCATCTATAAAACTAGGCCTGGATTGGACAAATCAAGACTGCCGATACCCTGTTAGTATAGACAAATAAACACCATTGATCTGATAAACAACGTCAGTCTTCAGAGCTTCCTGATTGACTTGCAGCTCCACAGTCCCTCACCGTGACATTTGTCAGAATGGCTCTGATCTCCATCGAGGACCTCGCCGGATTGGACGATGAGCAGGTGGACGATGACATCACCGACAGCTCTGAGCCAATGGATGAGGAGCAGCAGGACAGAATGTATGCCCACTGGCAGGCGGTGGGAAGGACACACCATGTGTCTGTTCCCGGAGGTGAGATAGCGAGACGTCTCCATGGAAACTGAGTGGCAGAAGAAATGACACTGGCTGATCTAGATCAATGTAAAGCTGCTTTCAGACCAGCAATGAAGTGACTCTGGTTTTTGTGTAGAGATGAGGGGACCCATTGAGGAGATGACGAGGAGGAACCAGACCTCAGAACGAGAGCCAGTGCCTTCTGTCACCATTTCCAGACACGAGAAGGTAAAACCAGCCCACTTGTGCTGCCTGCTATATGTTAGTTTGGAATCACTGGATCTTGAAACATGGGGCAAAACATGTCTACAATTAGGAAAATGGCAACACTTCCACTTTCTGAAATTAATCCGAGATGATCACTAGAACAACTGTACAGTTTTCATTTGCACTAAGTGTAAATAGCAAGTATAGATGCTATGCAGGCTACATCAAGTGAAAATAGCAGTATTTTCTTAGCAATAGATGCTATTTACACTAAGTGAAAATAACGATAGATGCCATTTAGCAGGATTTTCTATATTTATACTACGTATTGCAAATATAGGCAATTATCCTCACCTCAGTATTGTAGTACATTATAAAACAGTATGGAATAATAACAAATTGAGCCTCATTTACGAAACAAACATACGACAGAAAATTCAGTCAACCAAATATAAAAGTTACACTGTTTATTTTAAAAGATCTGCTGTAAAATCAGCGTGCAGCGTCCAAACAAACATTGTTGCGTGTGTGAGGGATTTTACACAGATATTAGAGCATGACTGAAGTATAAAGCCATGTTTAGGCTACATAATGAATAATAGTTATGCAAGCAAATGTTACAAATATGGCAAAAATGGAAACATTTGGATTCTTGTGGTATGAGAGTTTCAGGTTTGCTTGACATTTGTATGCTGTTTGCCACTAGAGCCTAATTTGTGTTTTATTTTATAGTTGAATATATAATTATATAACTACTTATTTTTCATTCTTGTTCGATTCTGAATACCGTTAAATTTAAAATATTTGTTGTAGAGTGAGGGAAACAGGGAAAAATGTTTATATTTAGGCTACCAGTATTTCAATATACATATAAACTAAATTAATTAATGTAGCCTAATTGTTTGCAATTACAAGGTTAACAGGTGTTTCTGGAGTAAGATCAATTTCTCTTTCACGAGATTACTTCCTCTTTTTGGCCGGGTTTCGTTTCTCACTGTCGTAAACGCTCGGGGCGAGGCTTCTAAACCGGGGTGTTTTTAGGGGCGTGATATGCAAATGACGATTGTTTTCTGCAGCCGCATTTATCAACATGCGATCATTCGTACGATGAGATTGGCGGCATACGAATGTTTCATAAATCACACGTGAACTCTGTCGTAAGTTGATTTGTGCGCACGGATCTGCGCTCGTTTCTACGTTAGATTGATAAATGAGGCCCATTGAGTGTAAATGATCATTTTAATTAAAATGATTAAATGGATGGATTATTTAATTCAAATTATTAAATGTATTGGGACTCTAAAGCCCTCCCTACATCCTACCGGATACTTAATACAACTTTTGGATTATTTCCTTCATTTTTATGGAAAATAAATGCTTTTCCGATGTGATATGAGATTTGAAAAGGGAAAAAAAAAGCTGGGCAAAAGGCAGATTCGATATAATCTCTTTATTTTTGTACTTTTAGCATGTTGACTAGTACTCAAGAAGCATTGACACATTTAGTTGTTATTTAATTGTTTTTACTAAAAAGACTTGTTTAAATGTAATTGTGTTGATGAGAGTCTGTGTGTGTTTGTGCAGCTTGGCGAGGTCTTGTACGAGGAGAGAGTGTATCCTCCAGGAAAGTGGGCATGTGTCAGTAAAGCAGACATGCTGTATGAGCAAAGCATCTCCAATGCTTTTATGAAACTCATGCGCTTCATCTGCAAGGAGAATTCAACAGGTAAACTTTTAACCACCAAACTATTTCAAGTCGGTGCTTTGAGACCCTTGCCTTTTATTGTTTGTTACAATTTAGTTTTCTGGGGTTTTTTTTGTTTAAAATTGGTCATAACTTTAAAGCAACTGTATGTAGTTTTGTGAATCTTACAGTTCACTGTCATAATTACAGTGATAGCTGTAGCCTACACATGCTGCGATAAAACAATTAGCTTTTTCTGTGGAATTTCACTCGCCCAACAAACTTGCACAGTCATAGAACAGACGTTTGGGAAATAAACCGAAGCCGTTTGCCTTACTAGAAGTCAGTGTATCATCATGATGACTTTGAAACTGATATTTCAAGGTAAAAACTTGCATACAGCTGTGATTTACATCAAATGTAGACTGGTCAAATCTGAAAAGTAAGAATGATTAACTCTTGGCTAACTGCTAGTTGGTCAAACTAGTTCTTAAGACACAGTTTTATCATAAAGGATATGTTTATGCAACTCGTTCCTGGTATATGACAAAATTAGTCTCAGGTGTGGTTAATAGATGGGTTTTTCTCATGCTTATAAATGGCACATTAAAGGTGCCGTCACATTTACAGTTGTTTGACCAATTGTCGCAGGCGAAATCCATTCATTGCTATAGGAATCCATGCAATCAGGAGGGCAAAAGATTTCTGCATGCGGATTTTGCAGTGGGTCCAAGTTGATCACACAGATTTGCCACGTTGACCAACAGAAAGCTGTTTGGTTTGGAAGTGATGTCCGTTTGAGCTGTGCTTCATACATTGCTACACTGTTTACTGTATAATAATGGACCTTTTCAGCCTGTGCTATTTCACCAAAATCACGCCATACGGCTGTAGAATTAGTTCAAAATCAGGTGGACTGAACACCAAAAAATGTGAATTAAAATAAATGGGCTAAAAATCTATCACTAAAGTGGACCAAAAAACAGATTTGAATCCACTTTGAGTCCAGATTCACACAGAAATGTTGCTAATATCACCACACCTTGAATCAAAATCAGGTGGAATGAACTCCAAATAATGTGAATTTAAATAAATAAGTGGGCTAAAAAACTATCATTAAAGTGGATCAAAAACAGATTTGAATCCACTTTGAGTCCAGATTCACAGACATTTTGCTAGCATCACCATACCTTAATCTGTACAGATAGTTGAATCAAAATCAGGTGGAATGAACTCCAAAAATTGTGAATTTAAATAAATAAGTGGGATAAAAAAACTATCACTAAAGTGGACCAAAAAGAGATTTTAATCTACTTTAAATCCAGATTCAGTGTGAATGCAAAAAATGGCTTATTTTAAGTTCATTATGGGTATGAGTTGTGTTTTATTAACTCACGTGTGACCCCTCTTATAGCATGCATAGTTTCTATTACAATATTCATCATGATAATCACAATGATTGTTTCATATGAAACGTGCCAGTTTCCCAGTTTACTCAGTTTACTCTCTGTGTCTCCAGGACGGTACCTTGGCATGTCAGTACCTGTTGTGAATGAGATTACGATGGCCGACGACGGCACTAACTTCATGAAGGACGTGTTGACGGCGTATTATCTGCCCGCTGAGTTCCAGGCCAGACCACCTGAACCAACCGACCCTGATATCAGAATCGTTCACAGAGACGCGATCCGCGTCATAGCCAGGTACACGACCAAACCAGACCCTTGGAGCCCAGTCTTTTTCATTAGCAATGCCTGCTACAGAATGATTATAGTTTAACTTTTCTTTCATTCTAGGGTGTTTTATGGCACCACAACGGAGGAGACCATCTCTCATCAGATCAGCATCCTTTGGGAGCTTCTGGGCAACTCCGAGGATGTTCTCCGAGACCGCTACATGGTAGCTGTTTACGAGAATCCCGGCGTGCCCCAACGCAGAAATGAGATCTGGTTCGTTCGCCGTGGCTCGTGAACATTTCACAGCTCGCCTGTTAAGACAGTAGAGACGTTTGAGTTGCTAAATGTCTCGAAATGAAGGGGCGGAGCTTGTCACAATCAAAACCCAGTTATCCTTTTGTATTGTTGTGAGTGCGATGCAGAAAACATTTGTTTTTAATCAGTGAAGTAAAGAAACTGCAGCTTATTACACAACTGATACAGATTACACACTAACACTGTATATAGCCTGCTGCTGATTCAGGGTCAACACATGGAAGAGATATCAGTGGGTGACCTGGCATTATTTTTTAACTCGTATAGTATGAAGATTATTCATTATGCTTACTGTGTTTTTTCTGCTTGATTTAAATATTATACACAACTCGAATTCACTTTCATTGTTCAGTTTGTTTTAGTGCAGAAAATTGTTTTTGCTAGGTTTTCCATCGTGCCCTAACATGGTGTTGTCGGCAATGACTCGGATATTATGATATTCACAACTGTGAACCGTAAATCCTTCAATGATGGCATTTTAGTTTGTTGTTTGCTTTATATGTTGATAGAAAAACAAGTTCAGTTTTGAGATTTGCAGCTGCTATTAAGATTCAATACTTATATATTTACAGTTAATGAAATTAAGTAGTCAATTTTGTGTTGGAAAACTGTTGTAAATTAAAATATGTTTTGTACTTTGTGTAACAGACTATCAAAGCATTTATCAGACAATCATCAGCAAGAGCTTTTCCATCTCTAAAACTCAGAATCTTCTACATTTTTATCTTATGGGCCAATTAAATTATTACCTATTAGATATTAGTAGGGTATTACACAAATATGGCAGTGGTATGCTTTTTTTTACGGGTATGCTTGATCTCTTTTCTAAAGATGGAGTCTGCAAGTCTAGTATATCTAAAAACAGCTTTTTCTCCAAATGAATGGGAGCACCTGGCAAAATATCCCTTTGCAGCAGTATTGTATCTGAGCACTATTTGGTCTCAAGGATGTAATTGCATTTACTTATCAGTGTATTTTTTGTTGTTGTGTTGTATGTAATATTGTACAAACGTATGTAAAACATCAGCGCAACTCTTTAAAGCACTGTTTTGCCATTTGATTCCTTGCTTTTGTTACATTGATGGCTTAGGTTGTACTTTTAATTGATATTTGCCTTGTCGAAGTATTTTAAAACTTGCACACACCCCCTCAAGTCTATATAATAATTCTAATAAACTTTACTTAAAAAAAATAGCTTAATATGCTTTGCAAAAAGTTTAATAAATGTATACAAATAATAAATGGTTTAATTAAATTGTTTAATTGTTGTTGTGGATCACTAAAGCCCGAATTTGTAATAAGCAAGTTTAAAATAATTTATATTTAATCTAATTTGCTACGCTACTCTGCTACACGACTCTCAATTTTGGCGGGCTGCAATTCCATTTTCCACCACAGATTTACACTGAACAAATGCGGGGCGCTGTTGAGCCCGACAGGACAGCGGCGGCCTCAGCCCTTAGCACTATACCATTACACATCCTACCTAACTAAGATACGCTAAATTGTAAGATGTCCAACTCCCTTTTTTTTAACTTAAAATAGTCTAGAAACAACGAAAAATATTTGTTGTAGAAACTAAACTAATTACAAGCCCCGCGGGGGCTGCTTGTGACCTCACTGAAATTAATCAGTTCTTCGTTGAACTTCAGTCACCACAGGATGTCTGGTAAGAAGTGTAAAATAGACACGTGACAAGGTGAATATTAATATATAAACAGTGATTATTTACATGTTCATCCACTGAGTTTACAAATGTATGTTAGTTTAATAACTGGACAAATAATTTTCAGTCTGTAAGCCACCATAATCAGCTAATGGATAAAATTATGAAGACAGTTGAGAGGGTATTAGTGCAAATAGAGAGCACACTTTGCACCTGGATGACCTACTATTTTGGATGAGATTCTGAGGTACACATTCAATGGACACTTTACTATCCCATGAGGAGGCCATGGGAGAAGAAGATTTGTGAATGCCGTAGGTCATACAACAATGACAACATGATGAATGTAGTACATCCAGAATACATTCATACACTTTAAAAAAAAATCCGTAAAAAAACGGCAGCTGTGGTTGCCGGAATTTATGTTGTTAAATTAATGTTTATTGCATTATTTCAGTATCAAGTGTGTCACCATGATGGTGTTTAGTGTTTGCGTAAATGACACTGTGCACCTTCTATATGTAAGTATTGTCCTCCTCAGCTCATAGAAAAGCTGTTTGTGATGAGCTTTGGTTCATCATGTGACTTTCTCATCACCACCCGTTTTTTGGTGGTTATCAGTGCATGTCCGAATCTAAAATAAGCTTTCTCTTGGGAGTGGATGATCGTAGATCTCCTTGTAGATGACTGTCAGCTTCACTGGTACAATAGTGAGCAGGTGAGCTGTTAGAAGAACAATTGGGCTCCATTAATTCAAGGTACCCTAGGTAGTGTAGACTAGAATCTATGCTAAGCCGTCAAAATTAGCAGGATCAGCCTTGGCAACCATGTTTGACAAACACTCCCATGAGTGAAGCTGCAGAACCGGGAGCGCCTGTTTTCAATCTCCACACAATCCCAAAGGTGACACCAAAAGTGCTAACTTAGCTTATTCTCTCACCTAATGATCTAGCAAACTAACTCCCATGGTGCTCTGCCTAAAAACTAATGTTGTTAAATTAATGTTTATTGCATTATTTCAGTATCAAGTGTGTCACCATGATGGTGTTTAGTGTTTGCGTAAATGACACTGTGCACCTTCTATATGTAAGTATTGTCCTCCTCAGCTCATAGAAAAGCTGTTTGTGATGAGCTTTGGTTCATCATTGTGACTTTCTCATCACCACCCGTTTTTGGTGGTTATCAGTGCATGTCCGAGTCTAAAATAAGCTTTCTCTTGGGAGTGGATGATCGTAGATCTCCTTGTAGATGACTGTCAGCTTCACTGGTACAATAGTGAGCAGGTGAGCTGTTAGAAGAACAATTGGGCTCCATTAATTCAAGGTACCCTACGTAGTGTAGACTAGAATCTATGCTAAGCCATCAAAATTAGCAGGATCAGCCTTGGCAACCATGTTTGACAAACACTCCCATGAGTGAAGCTGCAGAACCGGGAGCGCCTGTTTTCAATCTCCACACAATCCCAAAGGTGACACCAAAAGTGCTAACTTAGCTTATTCTCTCACCTAATGATCTAGCAAACTAACTCCCATGGTGCTCTGCCTAAAATAAAAACCTGTTTATTTAAATATCTGTTTAGGTTAGTGCTTGTTTGGTACCATCACACTGGCACCAGCATAGCCATGATGAAAAAAATGCTGGTTATCAACTAGCTCCATCATTCTGTTTTGGGAGGTATCTTCAGGCACAAAGATTGCTTGCAAGTCATTGTCTGAGCAGCGAGGAAACAAGTCAGCTGCCTAAGTTTTGGACACAGCCTTCATGTAAACATGCAGTTTTTGGACTGGCCACCGCAAACTCTGACAACTGTCAAAAGTGGCATTACGTCACAAAAGTGTGCACTCAAGAGGAAGACCACAAGGGCTTACAGGGTGTCATCTGGGACAGTCAACAACCAATGCACAGAACACAGCCACTTGTTCCGCTTGGATGTACGTCACAATATGGAAGAGGAGATCTGCTGCTACTTCAGTTTCATCGCAACTTGAAACACTTGCACTGGTTTGTGCACAAACATTTCCAGAAAGACAGAAATGTGGCTCAATGAAGGAAGGCTTTTTATTTACATTCCCATAACTTGGAAATCGCAATTGTAAAATCACCATATTTATTGCAAATGCTTGAAATCAAAGAAATATTTTAAGGGATGGTTCACTCATAAATAAAAACCAAACTGTTGGTGGAAACTTAATTTATTTTTGTCACCATGGCTTCCGTCAGCTGTTTTGTTACCAACATTCTTTATTTATTTATCATACAAGAAGTATGTTTAGTGGCAGCTGTTTAGTGATTGTAAAACATGACAAGGTGCACTTTTTCACTATGCAAAATGCAGATAATAAGCGCTTTGGGTTTCTTCTCACGATATTCTTAGCATGCTATTACATAGCCTTAAGGACCTTTGCAAAAAATTGAAATATACAGACTTTCATGTGCACACGAGAAACCATTAAACTTAGCATATAAGACAATGCACACTGCCATCAGCCCATTTAGCGGTGTGGTGTCTTGGCCGCCACAGATTATCCGTTAAAGAGACCTTGATATATGACACAGTGCCCTAATGAAATCCAAATCTTGAACACTTTTTTGCAGAACCAGTCTTTTTTTATAGCCCCTTGATCTTGGATAATAAGACGATGCACAGAGCCTATTGTGCCATCAGCTTATTTCGTGTCATGGTTTCTCCGGCGCCACAGAGGACAAGTTAAATTGGACATTAGGCCTTGATATTAGAGCAGGGCTGTCCAAACTCGGTCCTGGAGGGCCGGTGTCCTGCAGAGTTTAGCTCCAACTTGCCTCAACACACCTGACTAGAAGTTTCTATGCCTAGTAAGAGCTTGATTAGCTGGTTCAGGTGTGTTTAATTAGGGTTGGAGCTAAACTCTGCAGGACACCGGCCCTCCAGGACCGAGTTTGGACAGCCCTGTATTAGAGGTACTACCATAAGGAAAGCTAAATATTGAGCAAGTAGATCTCTATTCATGTGTTTCCATGCTCTCGTTTTATTTATAGTATGGCAGTGATGCACAAAGGAATTAGGTTATATAAAACTAGAAATGAATTGCATAATGCATAAGCATGCAATAAATTCCTATTTTTATTTATTTATTATTATTATTTATTTTGGTGGCTCTGTATGTTGTCACTTTGAGAAAATCTGTGAAAAAAATATATTTACAGATGACTGTATATACACTCTAAAAAATGCCAAAATATAAAGCTGAAAATAATGCCGTATGAACATTCATGTTAAATATGGTCTGAAAAATCCACTGAGAGGTTTGGGAATTTTGAAATGGAAACTGTGTAGTAACCCTGTGATAGCCATATATGGTCAAATACCTTTTCATTAGCCAGGTGGTTTATAAAGACAGTTTTAAGTAATAAAATTACAATGAGCTAAATTACAATGCCACCGTCTGCAGCAAACCAATGTATCTGGCCAATAGAGGGCAATCGTGCTGAAGAAGGAATGTTTTTTAAGCCAGTTGCTATTCTTTTGAACAACTGTGTTACTTATGCGGCTATTTTAGATAATGCTTAATATAATATTAATACACTGAGTCATTTGAACGGAGTGAAAGTAAGTTGTAAGTGACTGGTCTCCACTTACCTTCCTGCAGCCCGGTAGAGTCCACCCACCTACCCACCCATCCACTCCCACTGCAGAGAGAAACACGACTCCTGCGCTCACACAAACCCCCAGCACTGCCTCAAACTCACGCTCAGAGGGGCTCTTTGTCTGCAGTTCGAGGAGGTTCCGGGTGGATTCAGCATGGAGCGCCTGACACGTCCAACCAAACCCACAGCTCCACATTAACGAGCATGCACTCCTGGAAGACTCGCTGTGCGCAAACTGGATTTTAGCGTTTATACGACAACCCACAATTGCAGTATCTGTACATACACGAACTTTTGAGTCTTTAATTTATACCCGTCGCTTTTCTCGACTTCAACCATGGGTTTATGGACGAGAAGGCACGAGCGCAAGCTCACAAACGCCGAGCGTGTTTTCCTAGCGTTCACACTGATCGCCGAAGGTAAGAACGCGTCCGCGAGCGTGCGTATTTGTTACACAGTACATGTTTGTAGTTTTTGCATGGCTCGGGAAACTTCACATTCACTTCTTTTCCGAATGCATAAATAGTTTAGACGTAGATGCGCATGCAGCTATCAGCCAAGGCGAAGTGTACTTGCGCTGTGACTCGAATCTGGATTGAATCTGGATTTGATGCGAGTTTACACAGACTCCCCTGTCCTTGTGTTAGCAAATGCAAAGCTTAGAAGAAGAAAAAATGTTCCAGTGTGTTACCACTGAACTAAAGAATACTCGTGTTTTTATATGAATGAATCAATCCACCCTCCTTTTCCCAGAAACCCAAGTACAGTAAGGGCTGAGGAGGCCTGTAAAATAACTCTGGCATAATGGTCTGTGAAAGGAGAAACGGGTCTGTCTTTTTATCTGTACTAGATTGCAGTGCATATTTGTAGGCGGCTAAGTGAACTTCATGAGGC